CAAGATTCAAATAAATATGGAATATTGTCCCAAGATTGCTCTCAATGTAAAGATAGAGATGGATCAAAATACCTTAGACCTCACGAGAAACCCTTTGTCTCGAATCCTCAAAGACTTGGAAGAATCCCACGTAGCTTCAAGTACCTCGATGTTGCAATCTTCAATCAACTAGAGTCGGATCTAGTTTCCTTCGATTCAAGAACGAGTCCACGAACTTAAATCTAAGGTTGAAGAAAGTAAGATTGATTCGAGTCCACGAATCAATTTGCTAGTCGAGTCCACGACTAGCCACTAATTGAGTCCACAATTAGCCATAAGGTTTCTTACACAAGTGTAAAGAAAAACTTAAGAATTTTATTGAATTGAAGCCTGTCCGAAACTGATATGGATGTGCCCTATTTATAGGTATAGAGGCAGCATTATAATTCTAAATACAATGGAAAAAAAGAGTCCTAAACCTAATCTAGAAAACAAGTAAATAGAGTTTTATTTAGAAAAGGATTTAAGGAATCCTTTCTAAATACAACTAGTGTTTTCTCTTTAATTCTAAACAATTTAAAATAATGATGACCACAAATAATAAAGCTGATTTGGGCCTCGGATCTTGTGATTGGCCCAATTTGTAATCTTAATGGATCTTCATTATGTTGGGCCGCATCATAGGGTATGGTCAATTTAGGCTGGAATGTGTTGTTCAAGTGTGGCTCAAAAGGAAAAGCAGATAAGGCAGTACTTCCAAACAAGAATTACTGATTGATAGATGATAAATATAAGGATGAAACAAGTAATGACAAGAATCCAACACTTTTTTTTTTTTTTTTTTTTGTATTCTTCTATTATTTTTTTTTTTGATTTCTTTCTCTCTTTTTTTTCTTTTTTTTTTTGGAAAGATCACTTCAAATCGATTGGAAAACAAGGAAACAGCACGAATAAACAAAAGTTAAAGCTACACAAGAATTGGCATAATCTGGACAGAAAAAGCTAAAAACGAGATGAAACTTTGAGAATTTTCTGGGAACATATGGTAACGAATATTCACTCAATTTTTTTCAGATTTGAAGTTCAACAAGTGTACTAAATGCACAAAAAAATTCAGATAGAAAAGACACAGGAAACTATTTTTTTCGGATTTTCAAAGTTGATTGCGCAAAACTGCAAATTTCAGTAAACTTGACGAAACTTTGAGAATTTTCTGGGAACATATGGTAACGAATTTTCACTCAATTTTTCCAGATCTCAATTTCAACAAGAGTATGAAATGCAGGAAAAAATTCAGACAAAAAGGACACTAGAAAGTATTTGTTTCGTATTTTCAAAGTTGACTGCGCAAATCTGAAAATTTCAGGCAGTTTGTGTTTTAAACTAAAATTTGAGAAGAAATTTTGTAACCTCTTGAAGCGTGAGAGAAACTTGGCTCTGATACCAAATTTGATGTGATCCGTGGTGCAAGCTTTGTCTTTGTAAGCCTTCGAGTTTTGCAGTAGCAAGCCGAGCTCCACACACAGTTCTTGTATGTTGGGTTGATTGGGTGTTTGGGTATGGTTGTGAGGGTTACGGGGTTTCTTTTTGTTGGTTTTTTTATAGATAGCCTCGGCCACACCTGGTTTATGGTGATACGAGGGAGTTTTAGACGCCACAAAGGGAAAACCTTTGATAAGTCAGAAGAACCTTGAAGAACTCAAGGAGGAGAGCAATCTTGTTGCCAAAATAATTTCAACGATATCTGATTTCCCCTAGAAGTTACATTATTTTAAGCTATCACATGTTGTGCCAAGAAATTAGGCCTAACAATTAGCAAAAGACTAGGGAATACAAAGTTGAATAGGAAACATAAAAGATGATCAAGTCTAGCCTAAAAATGAGGAGCCCTAAACTGCCAGGACTCTTTATCTAACTTCTTGCGAGTGGAGCTCGGACCACCTTCCGGAACCAAGCTCGGCTCAACCACTGTATTATTTTTCAGAGAGTCTCCTTTCAGTCCATATAAGGCTTGTGACGCGCAAATGAGTGGGTTGACGCACACGGGCCTTAAATTATTGTTGCGCCAGATTTTCAGCAACTTTGTAAATTGACATTGAATGTCTAATTGCAACCTAGCCCCATTGTAGACATTTGGGGTGACAATTGGTGACAAATATGAGAAAATTTAATTAAATTGGACACCAATTAAATTGATCACACGGCCATCATACCCATCCGAATGTCCAACCTCAAAATTGGCTTGTATGAGCGCACTCACAGAATCTTGCAACCTCCTAGCTCTAGCCCGCATTGTAGGACCATCCAAAACGTGTAGTGGATCTCTACTCTCGTCACCATCGATGTCCTCAACAGATGGTTTCGATGCGGGGAGAGAGGACATAAGGTTGCCGAGTGTCCTCAGCAAGCTAACCAAAGGGCGTTGCCACCATCTACGGGATTTGGAGGAGCATCGGGAGGGAGCTCGAGTCGAGGAGCAGCCGGAGCTAGACCTTCGTGTCTGGTTTTCGTGATGGGGCGATCTCAGGCGGAGACAGAGGGCGTCGTTGAAGACGAGGCGGCAGGCAACCCTTTTCTAAGCCTACCCTTGTCTTGAGAATATATCTTGTTCCTCGTTGCCTTTTTGTGTTGCCTTGTTGTGTGATTCTTTTGGTCTTAACTGAAAGCTTTTCGTTTCGTGAAGTTAATTGTTTACTCCTAAAATGGGTCATGCTTACGGTAATTCCATAGCCTTGCACAGGTACTCTTGTAACCCATCTTTTGTGAGTCACCTAAATTTATCTAAGTGTCCTTTGAGTTTATAATAAACCATCCATGGAATTTCTTCTTGTGTAGCGTAAAAGACCAAGTAAATTTTAAATTGTAACCCCTAAGTTTCAAACCTAGGTATACCATTTACCAACCCTACCCTTGAACCACTTGAGCTAGTTATGTTTTTTAAACCTTATCCAATTTAATTCTATCTAACCCATAATTTCCCACTTTACCCAAAATCCCCAAATTAAATCATCTTCTTTTTCCAATTTTCCCCCAAAATCCCTAAACCCTCAAATTCTTTCCCTTCTTCCCCTCCACCCGTGTGTACCAACTGAAGCACCCCTCCCCACCACCTGTCGGATTCCCATCCCCACCGAGACCAAACCACCGCCGTCGCCACCACCGGAACTCCGCCATTGACCTGCTTTGCTGCCGCGAAGCCAAGAAGAGCAGCGAGAGATCGAGAGGGAGAGGCAGCGCGAGAGAAGAAGAGGAGAAGAGGAGAAAAAGCCTTGGGACTTCTCTTTGAGCTTTGGGTTGTCTTTCAACCATGCCTAGGAGAACAAGCTTGGCAAGGAAACTGGAATGGGTGGATGCCCATTATCTCATTTTGGAAGGTAAAGCTTTTGATCCAGAATCTTTTCCAAGTTCTTTGTTAGATATGTTGAGGTATCAAGGCTTGTTGGATGGGTTCCTCACCATAAGGGTTGAGACGTACCCGAGTTTGGTTAAGGAGTTTTACCGTCACATGGTTGTGACTAAAGACGGTGGGAAGCTAGAAGTTACCTCTAAGGTGAGAGGTGTGAAAGTTGTTTTGTCTGAAAAGAGGCTAGCTCAGCTCTTAAGTCTAACCGCTATGGGAGTTTCACAGTATAGTGGTAACTCTTGGATCAGTACGGATACCATGGGGTACCAGGACTACTTGAGCTATCTGTTGGGTCGGATTAGCTGTTTCACTCAAGCCTCAAGACCGGAGAAGAAATGGTTATCTGCCGAGCAAAGAATCTTGGTGATGCTTGTGTCGGATTGTTTGTTGCCCAATAACAACAAAAGTCGATTGTTGGGAAAGCTTGAATGTACTTTGCCTTCTTTTTGAAGAACATGGTGAAGTTTAATTTGCCAGCCTTGATGTTACAACACATTGTCTTTTGCCGAGACCACAACCGGAAGAGCCTATCGTACAGAATGGTTTTGTGTTGGATCTTTGCTAGGAAGGGCGTGAGTGTTGTTGGTTGTGTACCGAAGCCCGTAGGAAAAATGGTGTTGGATGCCACCAATTTGCGAAGCTGCAACTTGTTCCAGTTAGATGGCGGTGATTATATCACGCTTGAGGAAGTTGCCAGGAAGACCCCCGAGGAGAGAGACGAGTTGGTTGTTGAGCTCGAGATTCCTGTCGGGAAGCTGAACCTCGCGGTTCAGAGTTTTGGAGGTGATGTGGGGGACGTTGGAGCATGAGGAGAGCGCGGTCGTTGAGGAGGACGCGGTCGTTGGAGCAGCTGCCGAGGTTGAGGAGAGTGACTCAGAGAGTGAAGAGAACCGGAGGAGGAGAGAAGCGCGAACCAAGAGAGAGCACGATGCTATGTCGCATGAGGAGCGAGTGGTCACCCTTCTACGCCAACAAAACAGGATGATAGAAGAGGGCTTTACTTTTATGAAGATGCAATTCGTTGCAGTTCATCAGAGGTTGGATCAGATAGAGGCCAGCTTGAGCCGAAGAGGTGATGATGAGGAGTCCGATGAAGACACCGAAGAATCGGAGAGCGAGTCGTTGTAGTGTGGTGTTGTGGTAATCCCGCCTACCTTTCCTTAGCTTGTTGTTATCTTTTTCGTTGTTGCTACTGTTTGCTTTATGTGTTCTTGTTTGATAGTTCTGTTGAGTAGTTAGCTTTGTGGGTTGTACTAGGAGCTAGTGGTTTAGAACTTAGGTGTTGGTTAGAAGTTTGGTGGTTGTGTTTGGCTTAGTGTTTGTTATGCTCAAAGAACCCCGTTGGTTATTTCTTTCAAACTTTCAATGCTATGATTTCTTGCTTGTTTTCGGTATCTTTTGAATCCTTTAACTCTTGACCAAAAGGATATTCTTGACTCTCTTGTCACATTGTGGTCCCGTTTTACCGTGTTGTTTTTAATCCGTCGTACCCAACTTCGGGGACGAAGCTTCTTTTAATGGGGAGAGGATGTGACACCCCGTAAATCCAAATTTCATTAAAGGATTAATTAAGTAATTAATCCTAATCTTTTTTGAAAGGTGGCCAATAAGGCATATATTAAAGGTACTCAGAAATAGAGTCTGGAGGGACATCGTCCGAATACATAATCGTAGAAGAATTAAATGCAGTAGCCGCTAGACTATGTGCTAAATAGTTCTCTGATCTAGGAATAAAATTAACTGAACAATAATCAAAAGAAATAATGCATGCTCTACAAGCATCAATGGCATAGCCAACGTAAGTCCGAACAGTGATAGCTTGATTTGTCAAATACTGTTGCAGGGTCAAACAATCCGTGAGTATGTGTACTGAGCGCTCTCCACGATTCCATAACCAAGACAAGGCTTCCTTACATGCTATTGCTTCAGCCATAAGCGGGGACAGACAATCTGACAAGGGTGCACTGAATGCCGATACATATCCCCCTTCCTCGTCGAACAAAACCGCGCCAACCGTAGCCCTTCCTGTAGCTGGCATGAATCCAGCATCGACATAGCATCTCCGTCTCGGCTCGGCAGGCTCGTTCCGTGCGCCCTCTTGGGCGATCCCCATAGCAGTCACGGCATTTGCCGTGTTGTAGTGCTGCTGCTGCCGTGTCACGGCAGTGGCAGTAGCACTGCTTTGTGCGGCAGCCCCTTGGTCCGTTTGTGGGTGGGTGTGGTGGACTCTTTGCCATGCAAGTGCGGTTGCTTCGGCCAAGGCTAACACTTTTCGTGGTCGCGGTAGACACGCATCCCATACCGCTCCGTTCCTGGCTCTCCAAATATGATATAATATTGCAGCTGCGTGAACAATTTGGTTAGTGTCTAAAATATTTAATAGCTCACTAAACCAAGTATGAAAAACATTTGTTGCTATCATGGGGATTGGAAGGTGAGATTGAGCCCAAATGGAACTTGCATAACCACATGTTACTAAAGCATGCATTGTGTCTTCATCCATTATTCCACACATAGCACATGTTGGTTGGATTTCCACCCTCTTTATAATCAAATTCGTTGTATAGGGAGGATACCACTCAAAGCCTTCCACAAGAATGTCTTCCATTTGGGGGGAACTTTTAATTTCCATAGGCGTAACCAATTATGCGTGCCTGTATTATCATTGAGATCTCCCACAACTGCTTTGTAGCCACTCTTAACAGTATAATTACCTCCCTGATCACCATGCCAATACCACATATCCTCATAGTCCGGTGATACTGGAATCCTTTTTATCCTAGCCACATCCGTAGGAATAAAAATATCTGCCAAAATATCCGGATCCCAGGTTTGTGTCTCATGATCAATTAATCCCAACACTGCTGCATTATTTAAATATGGGGGCTTATCAGTATGAACCATTGGGTCGTGTTCATCTTGTAACCATGGGTGGTCCCAGATTAGAGTTGTCTTTCCATTTCCAATTCTGCGCCTCGTTCCGCTACAAATCATGCTCTGAGCTGCCATTATACTACGCCAACAGAAACTGGGGTTATTTCCTACCTTGGCATCATAAAAGGTCCCTTTTGGGTAATATCTCGCTCTGTAACCTCGTGAGACCAGAGAGTCAGGTTTTGTTAACAAGCGCCATGCCTGTTTGCCCAGCATTGCTATATTAAATGCGTGCAGTTCTTTAAAACCCAGGCCACCATACTTTTTTGGTATACACAATTTGTCCCATGCCTTCCAATGGATTCCTCGTTCATTCCCAGATCCCCACCAATACCGGTTCATTGTTCGCTCAATAGCTGTGCAAATCCCCATAGGTAATAAAAAGACACTCATTGAAAAGGTGGGCATTGCCTGAGCCACACTTTTCAACAAGACTTCCTTACCAGCTTGCGATAACAATTTCTTATTCCAAGATAGGATTCTTTGCCTTATCTTATCCTCAATATATGAAAAGGCTGCTTTTTTATTTCTCCCTACAAATGAGGGTAGTCCCAAATATTTTCCAAAGTTTGGTGCCTGAGTAATCCCCAGTATCTGCGCCACTTCCTCCCTACTATCATCCTGTGTGTTCTTGCTATAACATATGCTGGACTTATGATAATTTACCACTTGGCCAGATAAATTTCCATACCGTGTCAAACACTGCTTTATCGCACTTGCTTCCTGCACATTTGCTTTAAAAAATAGTAGGCTGTCATCAGCAAAGAATAGATGTGAAATAGAAGGTGCACCCCTTGCAACTCTGCACCCATGAATTGCTCCCTGAATCTGTGCCTGTTGTAGCAATAAAGATAGTCCCTTTGCACAGATAATAAATAGATACGGGGATAATGGGTCTCCCTGCCTGAGTCCGCGAGATGGGATGATTGGCAAACCTCGGGTTCCATTCAGTTTGATATTATATGACACAGTAGTCACACATAACATGATTAACTCCACCCATATATTACTAAAGCCCAAAGCTGTTAACATGTTTCGTAGGAAAGGCCATTCCATACGATCATACGCTTTCGCCATATCCAGCTTTAAAGCACCCCATCCCACCTTTCCACATTGTTTTCTGTTCAGAAAGTGGCCAACCTCTGCCGCTATCAAAATATTATCTGTAATCAATCTGTCAGGTATAAATGCACTCTGTGTATCAGAAATAATATCATCCATGAGTGGCTTCATCCTGGCTGAAATCATTTTAGCCATAATTCTATAAATCACATTGCTTAGCGCTATAGGCCTGAGGTCCGTGACCCGTTCTGGATTTTTCTTCTTCGGTATTAAAACCACATCAGTATCATTCAAGTTGGCTGGGAAGGTCCATGTATTCAAACAGTCCACAATAAAATCCGACACATCTCCTCCCACCACATCCCAGAACTGCTGATAAAAACCCGGATTCATTCCATCCGGGCCGGGTGCCTTATCCGGGAACATAGCAAACAAGGCTGTTTTCACCTCATCCTTTTCAAAGGGGCGCAATAACTCTTCATTCTGCGTGTGTGTCACCCGGGGCAAGATATTGGCATAAAAACTTTCATCCATCTGGGACTGGTTTGACGAGAAAATATCTCGATAATAATCAAAAATAGTTGTTTTCATGGCTTCTCCCTCCACCCAATCCCCATTATCATTCATAATTTTTGAAATTGTGTTTTTCTTTTTATGGTGAGAGGCATACCTGTGATAGAACTTTGTATTCGCGTCTGCCCCCTTCAGCCAGTGTTGTTTCGCCCTCTGTTTCCAAAAGGCATCCTCCTGAGCTTCTAATTGGGCCAGGCGTTCCTCCAACTGCTGATACTCAGCCAATGAATTTTGATCTGTGCGTCCCCGTAACCGCAATTGTTCCTTGCGTAGGCACCGCAATTTCTCATCAAACCTATGATATTTATCACCTCCCCATCGCAATAACTTATTACCACATAATTCGATACAGGCTTGTAAACCTCTATCTCTTCCTTCAATCCATGTCGTCTCACCCACACCCCTACAACCCTCATCATGAAGCCAGGCCATCTCAAACCGGAACCCTTTTCTCCCACCACCCGTCCTTTCCCGAAGATTCAGAATCCCAAGGAAAAGAGCAGAATGATCTGAGCGTCGGGTTAGAATGTTCAAGACACTTGCCTCTCTCACCACATCTCACCATTCCTGCGTGACCACACTTTATCCAATCTTTCTTCAATCCAGTCTACTGTCCCCTCTCCTCTTTCCCAGGTAAACGGGTACCCCTGCATAGGTAATTGAGCTAGCCCACACTCATCAATAGTCTCTCCGAAGCCACGTAATAGTGCCTCTGGATGGGGATTCCCCCATCGCTTCTCATACTGATATAAGAGATCATTAAAATCCCCTATAATAACCCATGGCAACTCAGAGCGATGTGATAAGGACTTGATGAATTCCCAAGAATCATTCCGTCTTTCTCTTTGCGCATAACCATAATACCCTGTCATCCTCCACTTGTCAAACCCCGGCATTGTTACCTCAATATCCACATGATTTTTAGAGTAACTCAACAGGCTTGCCGTTCCATTCGTTCTCCACAGTAAAGCTAATCCTCCCTTCGTCCCCACACTATCAACTTTAAACACACCATCGAAGCCAAGTTTCACTCGGAGCCGCTCCGCATGATCCTGGGCAACCATGGTCTCCATCAGAAATACAAAATCGGGCTTCTTACTGGACACCATGTCCACAATCTCTCGAACTGTTCGTGGATTACCCAAGCCACGACAGTTCCAACTCAACGTACTCATAATGTTGGGCGGGTCTGAGAACCAGCACCCGCCATGAACAAGTTTTTTGACACATCTGCCATGGTAATGTCCTCACCGTTACCCCGCCCTCCTCCCCCATACCCCCCTTCCCTTCTTCTCTTCGAAACCGCCTCAACCGCCTCCTCGGCCCCACCATCCACAACCGGCCCTACCCGCAGCACACCCTCCCCCACCGCACCGCCCTTTCGGCCTCCCTCCTCCCGCACCCCCTCGGCTACCCGTGGCAGTCCCCCCACTGGGACCAGCCAGCTCTCCCCCACCTCCCTCGGTCCACGGCCTCCCCCAACTCTCATCTCCGCACTATACGGATAAAGCTGAACCGGTATTGTAGAGACCCGGGCTTTGACACAGAATTTGTATGTATGTCCCAAAAGCCCACAAAAGAAGCAGAAAGAATGCAACGTTCATACCTGAAATTAATCCAACAAGTGGTCTTGTCCCGTTTCAACAACTTCATACGTCTTCGTAAAGGTTTGTCCACCGGGATCGATACCCGGATCCGATAGAACGCTAGCCAAGGCGCCCCCATAAATCTCTCATCATGTTTAACAAACGTTCCAATAAAGTTCCCCATCTGCTCAAGCATTGGAAGGGACGTATAACCCATAGGGACATCATGAAGCTGTACCCACATATCAACCGAGTTCAACTCAACATCAATCGGTAACATTCCATCCTCCACCAACCGGCAAACCAATGTATTGTTCTCGAATGCCCACGGACCACCATTCAAAACATACTCAACATCCGTTTTGTGGAAGAAAACGAATAAAAACAATCCCTTATATATCTCAGTTACCGTAACCCCCATCACCGGTTGCCATACGGACGCCAATACTTGCCTCATGTATTCCAATTTGATCATACGTGCTGTTAGGAATCTACCAACTACACTCCACGTCTGTACCGGCTGCTCGGCACCCTCAGTCCCGCCCTCCTCCTCCACCGGTGCGAAACAAACATCTTCATCGTCAATCACAATTTCGGCCATACGCTGCGTTAATTCTGCCACATGGTGCTCCTGTTCGGTGTCCGCCATATCGCCTTGCTGATTAGCGAATGCTATTAATCGGAAACCAGCAAACACGCCGGAGAAAGCTGATGGAATAGCGAAAAACCTAGCCAAAACCCTAGGAGAGAAAGCAAAACCCTAGAATTCTAGAGAGAAAATTTAGTAATGACACATTGGGAGATGACATCTTTTTAAAAGTTATACACTACTGTCAAATCATTATTCTTTATTTTGTGAAATCCAGAAGAAACGTCCTGCCAAAGTGTGTGAGTTAGAGGCTCGGGTTGCTCAACTGGAAGACGGTGAAGGACCAGTTAACCTCTTCCTAATTAATCCTAATCTAATTGGTAATTTATTCTTTAAATTCCTGAAATTCAATAGTCGAGGACTAGTAATTGACTAGTCAATCTAAGTCAATGGGTTGTACCATATGCTTCATGAATAGTTCCATTGTTCCCTTACACTTTTCCATCTTAGTAAGGGTAATGAAGACATTTCACCTTATGATTGTATTCCAAGCTAACCTAGAGTTGCCTTTCATTCTTTCCCTAACACACTCAAAAGAAAAGCTCCTCCTTCTCTGTAGAATTTAGCTAGCTTATTCTTCAAGCCAAGTTTGGGCATTCCAAGATCTTCCAAGTTTGTCTCCAAGATTCCACCTTTCCTACTCTTGAGCATCTAGGAGGTAAGATCTTTGGTCCTTTAGTGTTTTTAGTGCTTTCTAAG